GCTCATACTTTATTCTCTTTACTTTAAAACTTCAGGCACTCGGGCTTCTATTTCACTTGTCACTTGTCCTTGGAGACTTACGCAGCTTTGGGGAAAAAAGCAATTACCTACTGTGAAAAGTCTAGGAGTTACAATTATGAAATAATAAAATGTCAAAGACATTTCTAATTTAGATATAGGGGTTTAAGCTTTTTAGCTTGGTGAAATATTACAAAATACTCGCTAAAATCCATCAGGTACAATGACCTCTTTGACTGTGATACCGAATGCAAATTCACAAACATTTGTACAGCGTGTATGAATGTCTGAATATGCACAAGACATCAGAAATTGAAAATCTGTTTTGCTTACCTTGTCACCAATTATGGAATTACAGCACTAAAACACGTTTCCTTCTTGAATACACTTAGTAAGTAGAACACTTTTGTCTCTAGAATGAGGAAAAAAAAAAAAAAATAACATTCACAATGCTCAGTCTTTTGCTTCCCTTCTTGGTGCTCACAAGTGTGACAGTCCCTGACAGCCCCTACACAAACAACTGAACTTCTCTCCACGGCCACCTTTAGTCAGCAGTTCAAAACAGAAGCACCTATGAATTTTTAACAGTGAGAAACCAATTCCAAAGGAATAGCAATAGCAAAGTTTAACCAGAGACAAACTTTTCACTAAAATTTTCCGACCAAACTAATCTTAACCCAACAACGCACATTTTCTGGTACAGTAGACTCCTAAATGACAAATTCTTACTGCATATGCTGCCAGATAAAATCCTGCTGATCTTAACACCATTTGACCTGTGATAAGGTGCGTGGCAAGATGGCAGAAAAGGGGAAGAGATTAAACCCTTTATCATATAATCATATACTCTGAGAGCATCCCGGCATCGTTAGTGCAGTCTGAGCTTTTATAAAGAGTGCAACGCAGGGACAAACGATTCTGGTACCTCCAACGTTGCCGAGGTGCACTCCTCATCCTTACAATGGGCTTAAGCCACGTCCCGGCAAAGGTCTCGCAAAACCAGCTCTGAAAACAACATGCATCATAGGCTAAATTAGAAAAAACAATCACACAGGATCACCTAAGCATCAGTCCTGGCGTCAAGGCCAGCAAAGAGCTTTTCTCCCCTGCGCTACACGAGTCCTTGCCACAACAATATTCTGTTCCCTGAGCTCCTGCCGCAGCCCTGGCTGGATGGGGATAAAGGAGACAAGGTGCAAAATAAGAAGTTATGGAGAAGACACCTATGCCATCCTGTAAACAACTGCTCTGTGTTGTACCTCGTCAGAAGCAATTTACGTTGTCTCAGGAACCAAGCAGTATGTCTACAAAATCGTAGCCAGGCTGTGAGGCAGGAGAGAGGGACAGAGAAGCCATGGGGTGTCACCTCCACAGAAACCTCAAGATGAGACAAACCCTTCTCCTCTGCTCTGGAGACACCAATGAATTTTGTTGCAAAATTCAAGTTTGCATTATAAAAATTGTTTTGTGTGAGCCCTGAATGATCAAGTGAACATTGCCTAATAACCGCTTTTTTTAGAGGTTAAGTGAAGCCCAAGATGGTAGGCAATTCATCCCAAGACTAAGCAAAGAGGGAAAAAGAACAATTGATTGTAGTCAAGGTTAGCAAATTCTTCATCATAAATTAAATCTACGCAGCATATTAAACTTTTTTTTTTTCTCTCAGACTGATTTAAAATGACATCTAGCAAGAGGGATGAGGACAAAGAAGCTGGCTTTAAAATAGAACTCCACAGATTTATAACCAACATTATATGGTACTTTTTAACTTCTGCAACAGGAAGTCAAATCTGGTGGCTCAGGAGCATCTTTTTCAGTCCTATTTTTTAGCACTAAGCTTGCTGCCCGGTAGCAGCCCTATTCCTAAAGCCTATTTCCCAACAGTCTCTTTTCAAAGAAACATCTGGCCAGAATAGCATGAGGGAAAGCAGAACAGCGGAGTAAAAAATGACCGAGTGAACAAATGCACGGAATCATTATGCAAAGCTGGAAGAGCTCCCACAGCTCTCCAGCAGAACCTGCCTGCGATAGGTTTTCAGAAGGCGCTGGCTGCTCCTCGGGGAAGATCAGCAAGGCAAAGCAATGTTCTCAAGCAGAACAGCCAGTGCCTACCCTAAAGATCACCAGCACTGCTGTACCAAATCCAGTTAGGCTTGTGCACATCAAGTGACCTTTATTTTCATGATGGAATAATCTAAACCTCAGATTCGTGGCAAGCTTGTCCAGATAACCTTTTCTTTCCCCACCCGATCCAGAGAGGCGTACAGCATCTCTTTGTAAAATGAAGAGAGCGTGGAACACCTGCAGAATAAACCAGGCATGGCTTCCCTTGATATAAAGATCCGAAAAGAAGACTTCAGTGGTAATCTAGATAAGATCGCAGGAACAGGTAATGCTTAATCATGAGTGACACTGTCTCATCATACTGCCCCTGCAAAGGGAAGTGCTGACAACCGAACACCGTGAAATTTCACACTTACCACTTGACATCAACTCAAGATAAAGTTTATACTGAGTTGGGCACCGGGCACATCTTACAGACTTTAAACATTTTATCAATATTAAAACTAGAAGCTTCTAACCAGAAATAAGTCAAGCTAAGCTTGTCTTCATTTCTTCATAGGCTGAGAAAGATCAAAAGAAGTAATTAAGACATTTCTTTGCTTGATTAACAAATATACAAAGTTTTATTTTTTTTTATTAGATCAGTTTTCTGTATGTTAACATTATCATATCAGCTATAACCCACATTCACAGCAGAATTTTTCTAATAGCATTTTGCAACGTCAACTGCTGTATTAGAAATCCTTAAGAGAAACTTATCTTTAGGGTAACTTAATAAAGTGCAAAACCACAATAAAATTTGACAGACATATGCCCCAGCTCATACTCAAGTGAAAAATAGTCTGTAAGACCACTAGATATGGAGTCACTGCACACAACAGAAGAGTGTGACCTGAAGACATCAGTTTTCAAGTTTTCCCGTTACCAGACATTGATTACAATGAAAAATTTTCTATTACTTTTAAGGTTAACAAAAAGAAATCACAGCAAGTTAACAAATAAAACAAAATACATTGACAGGCTACCTGAAGCTTAGCCCCTGTACTTGGTACCTTTTACCCAATGAAGGTTTTGGGAAGAACTGATGAACAGGAACAGCTCATTTCTTGACAGACTTTGATTTTAACTGCGAGGAATCAATGAGCAGGACATAACACAGCATCTTGTTTGGGACCCAAGTCAATTTTTTTTTTCTACTACACCTGCTGACATAAACACACTATCACTCAACTGACTGCCAGCCCTAGTTACTGTCTCTCTCAATCCAAGAAAATAGCAAAACCCTCAGAATTTTATGAAGTCCAATTCACAAAGCGTAACTCAAGCTTTCACATCTCTCCTTGCAGCCACTGGTCCAGTGACCGCAGTACCAAGCACTCTTTTCAAGACAAAGGAAGCATCAGTGTGTGTTTCCCTTTCTTAATTAGTTTTCATTAAGCCCTATGGTGCTACGACTGAACATCATCCACAGGGAAGACTACTCAACCCTTTTACTCACAGAATTCAAAGTTGTAAATTAAATATTACTCTAATTTAGTCTGCCTGCCTGCTCAGTAGCTGCTAACATTGCTTCTCTGCTACTACTTTCCAAGAAAGGACAGTTTAGCATGCCAAGCTTTAATAAACGACAAAAAATTTTACCTATAAGCCGTATATGCCTCCCTTTGTCACATTACTCAGCTCATTTTGCTAGTAAACACAAAACATCACTGTCACAATAAAAATTGCTGTTCAGGCTGTTTTCTCAGGACCACGGCCTGTTTGTAGCTTTTATGTAAGCAAGAAATTCAGAACATACATTCCCAAATCCTCATTTTTGCATAATACTCTCCTTCACATTGTTACGTTTCACTACAGCCCGTAGCGAACACTTGTCCACGCCCAGATACACGACACAACAGCAGCACTTTTTCAGAGGGCTGCGTTTTCCCCTTTTCGATCTTTTAAGCAGATAATCGAATTCCAAGACCCAGCAGTTGTACTCTGGATAAGGCACTTGCCCGAAACGAGCAACACAGCACCAGGCCAGTGGGCAAGGAAAGTCCGGATGTACCTTTTATTCAACATTTATACCTAAACAAGGAATAGTTCTGTAGCAATTGTGCTCATTCAGTCTGAAGTGAACCTCCCGCAACAGCTTGTGCAGATTTACAAACTGCCTCACGTCCATCCCTAAACTTACTTGTTACGGTCACATATTGTGAAAACTTTCGGAGGTTTAATTCCATAAAGATCCTATTTCGAAATAACCTCGCGGTGCATTTCAAAGGCGCATGCAAGATACGCGTCAGAACTCACGAAACCCAGTGATAAAGTTTCAATCAGCAGTTCATAATCACCAACATAAACAAGTTTTTTTTTTAATTTTTTCTTTCCAATCGAGGTCTCAATGATTTCAGTCCCTGACCAAAAAAAATAATTAAAAAAAAGAGTTGCCTTATGGCATGCATAGTACAGATATCACTAGTGCTACCTGGAAGAGTTCTACCTTCTCTTCTCTCTCCAAAAGGGTACCAATACAAACCCCAGCTACCTTAAAATTCACTCTTTACTGCATAGTCAGCTGCACACAGGCTCAGAAATCTTAGAGTAATCTAGGAGTAAAATCTGTTAACTCACCACCAACAGAAGATTAAGAAGTGAGATCTACTTGCCATCAAAAACAAAAGCACATCTCACTTCTGGGGTTCTTCACTGTTTTGTCATAGCTATTTTGATAGAATTATCCTGGTATTTTGGTCTTAGTATTAGATCATAGACAAAATCGCAGCTTTAAGGAAAACCCCTCATTTTATACTGTTTTAAACTGCCAGTAGCTTTAAGCACCTAAATAATTTTTTTTTTCATTTAATGAATGTTCGGCAGTTCTAGAAAGATGAGTTATGCATTTTTGTTCACATACAAAAAGACAGTCTAACAGATGTAAACTATTTATTGAATATTTGCCACCAATATTGTTAAATACATCATCTTGCAGTTTTCCGCTTTCAAGTTAAAATGTCAGAAACAGAACACCAAATATTTACAATTCTTATAAGGAATGTTACATAATGACACATTAAGGCGTAAATTCTTTTGGCTTATAATTCTGAAAAGAATGATAATAGCAAAAAGTGATGCAAAATCTTCATTGTGAGATTATGATTAAGCTACAATGTTTTACAAAAATATGGTGTAAGATGGCAATAATCCCATTCAAAATCCTGCATTAGGCCCCTCAAGGGAGGCTGATAATTTATACAGTCAAAACTTTTAAAATTTACATATAAAGGTACCCTATCCACCATTGAAAAGTACAACTCTCAACATATACAGTTTTCAGGCCACAGTTTTGAAGGTCTGGAGTATCAAGTTGGTTTGATGAATTAGTCGGTTGGCACTTACGAACACATTTATTGCCCTGTTAAAAGAGAAAGAGAGCGTTTCAGACATTTTTAGAAACATGCCATTCAATAAAACACTAAGTTTGGGTGACTAAATATATAAATCTGGGCCGTCTGGATGCTTTACCACACCATGATCTACCTGGAGCTTGCTGCTGGCAACAGACAGACTGATTTGCATAGTTAATCCTAGAAAGACTAAGTCTATTGGCAAGAACTTCACAACGTGGGCTCTCTATCATCATTGACATGCGAGTCATTAAATTCTGGGGTTTTAGCTGGCTAAGAAAAATAGTGGAGCAGATGATTGGTGAACCCCTGTGCTTTTCAAAGCCGAACACTTAATCCCCTAGTCATTACGGAATTTGCAACTCTTTCCTCAAGAAATACTAAGCATCCACACATATGGAAGCAACGTATTATTTTACTTATCTTTTTGTTAAGAAAGAGGTGTGGGGGTCACAGAGTTTGACTGCTCAGTAACTACTTCTGTGAGCACGACTGTTTTGTTTAGAGTGTTACCTTCCAGTGGGAGCAGAGTATCTTATCCAACATGCAGTTCAGGTTTCAATTACTTCTGATACCACAAGGATACAAAATACAAGCCTCATCTGGGATTTCATGGAATACTCACAGTATCTACATATTTTCCAGCTTTCGCCTCACAGCGGGTTAAACAAAGCTGGCCTCTTCCAATGCGGTTGGGGTACAGGCACAACACATCTAACCCTTTCCCCATCTTTTCAGTCAAATAGTTTTCTAATCAACTGAGACTGCTTAGACTTAGCTCATGTGAAAACTTATCTATACATCTGTTGAGCAATCAGAAAGCTACCAAGGCCTGAATTTCTTTGTTCAGTATCGAATTTAGCCCAATAAAGGAAAAGAGGAGAAAAAAAAGAGAAGAAAATGAATGATTTGACAGGAGCAAGGTAGTATTCACAGCTGGTCTCAAAACTTCCCTCTCCGTCAGTAGACATGAAAGTTAGTTCTCATCTTTAAAACAGTAGCACATAGAACACTTGGGCACAGTCAGAAACTGCAAGGGATATGCTCATCATCTGAAAGTCACTGTGGTGAAATACACCACAGTGACTTCAAACCCCAAGGTGAAGACCAGAAAAAAAGCCTCAGTTCGAAGGCTTAAATTTTCAAACATAAAAAGATTAATCGGCTGCACAATTCCAAATACTGCAAAGCACTATAAGGAGCTATAAAGGAAGGACAGTAACAATGTAAATCAAAGCAAACACTGCACAGATGTTTAATGTTTGTAAATTACTTTTCAAATAGGTAGATCCCTTTTTTCAATAGAGCATTCATAACTTTTGTGTGTGTGTGTGTGCTGGAATATACCCTGAGAAAAAACACACAAGACCATGAAATTTAAACTTCGCTTATTCAAGGTCAAAGCTGATATTGCACATGGGTTCAGATGGTGGTGAATTTAACTGACTTCCATTTCCTCAAAGGCGTTACAGAAAGAAGCATTCAAAGCAGCCATGATGGTCTTGAAGACACAGATTAGAAAAAAATTAGGCAAGTCCTGAAGAAGTTAGCTTATACCTCAAAGCTTGTCCTATTTTCCCCCATTAGTCAACAGAGCCTCTCATTTTGTAAAATGTGAGTACAAAAAACATACTTACTTTCCATCTTTAAAATAGGTTTTCAGAGTATCACTGAAACTTTTGGAGTATTTTACAAACTCTTTCTTTTGGTGCTCAAGTGCCTAAAGAAAACAAAAATACCAGGAGCAGAGGCTGAGGTCACATACAGCTGGGTACAGTGAGAATCTCAACATTTAACTGATTGGCTAGCGTCAAGTTAGATAAACAAGTTTACGTTTTTATTATTTTTTTTAAAAAGACAACACACAGAAATTGTCCTCTTCCTACAGAACTCATGAGATATACCATACACCAATCTGGCTGTTCAAGTATTATGTCATTGATCAGTTAAGCTCTCCCTAGTCACCCTTGGATCAAAAGGATATGCTTCCTCTTGCACTGTTAAAAATATCGTAGTAAAAGAGCTGTCACACATACCCGCCGGTTCTGGTACTGGTATTTCTTGAAGACATTATTTACTGTGTCAAGAAGTTCCTTTATTGCACTCGCGATGTCCCTATTTGACAATAAAAAAACTATAGTTGTAATATCCTTAAGCTTCCGTATTTAAATATTAGAATTTAAATCACCTTCTAGTAGTCAAATACTTCTTAAAACATTCTCTACAGAGTAAGTGTCAGACAGGACGTAGCAAGACCAGATGCAAAAAGCTAAGACCATCGACACACGAATTCCAACCAGGGATCAACAAGTCCACTCTAGTAACATGGGGCTCTCGTTAAACATTCTCAGCTCTGCTCATTTATAAGCGAGGATCAGGCTCCTTGTCAATGGGAACAGTGTCACTAGCATCTCCTACAGCATCTGAACATTCACATTTAAATAACTCTGACCCCTCAGTCTGAAAAAAACCAGGTAATACAGTACACTTACTTGATTGTCTGAAGAAACCTCACTCTGTCGTTGATCTCATCAGGAATCTTACTAAGAATCTGTTTAAGTGCTCGTGCCTTTTCATTAAGATCTTGGAATTCAGGTTCGGGTCTTTCAATCATATACTCTAACAAGAACAACATTTAAAAAATATCATTAGTTTTTCCTCAAGTCTCCAGTGACAGCTTTAAAATGCAACTTCACAAATTGTAGCGGTATTGCCCTGTTACATTTGAAGGTGAACAGCACAAAAATAGCAGTGAATACACTCTGTGTCAGCAGAAAGACAGTGTAACAATAACCTTTATTATTGCAAGTTGGAAACAGAGCCCAGCTTATTTTACGTGAGACACCAAAGACATTACACTAATCAAATGCAGTATTTAAATAACTTAAAGCCTACTGTATACTTCCATTCTCTGACAGTGTAACTACTGCTTTTAATTTGAAGCAAAGAAAAGGAAGGCGAATATGAAACTCCATATATGCTTTTTCTGGTTTTTAGCATTGCAAGAGGTGAACTATGCACCACATTAACATAGTTCTAAACATAAATTTTCTTTCTCTTATTGGTCAAGTATGTTTTTAGGGAGATTGCACTCCTCCCAAGAGGTGTTCAGGAAAACACATGCATTCTTCTACCAGGCTGAAAAAAAGTCTGTTACGAAATAAACAATCTGCTCTGGAAACAGACATAGAGAAATGCATGTTCCTAGCCAACAATGTAATTGAAAATAGACTTATACAAAATAAGAGATAACATATTACCTTCTACATCATCGGCTGCCATACGCAGAAGAGACTCTGTGAAGTTCACATCCACGCTTTTCTTCTCCAAAATTTTCATAATGATGTCCTGTGTAAGACCTGGATTTTCTTTCTCAGCCTGTATGGCAAAGAAAAGTTTTATTCTTAAATATTCAAGACTTGAATATTGCCAAGCACAAAGGCATGCAACCTGCTTCACATACTGCAGGAGTTTGCTAGAAACTTTACAAATCCAATGGCTTTAAACTAGCAGATTACAGTAAAAACCGTTCTTCCGCTACATCCATTTTTCTTGGATTGCAGAGGTTTTTATAAACAACTTTTCCAATAAGCCTTTCCACTCATTTCCATTTGAATAAGAAAGGTGGTGTGTTTTTTTATTAAATTCTATATTGTGTTTTATTTCCATAAACACTAAGCTTTGAAACAAACCTATTGTATCCATGGGAATTTACTTCACTCACAACACAGGTGCTACTCCCCAGTCTTCCCCATGACATTTCATAAATGTGCCTCTTCAATCACATCAGGCGCTTGAACGTCATCTTGGAATTGGTTTTTCAGAAAATCCACTTTTGATTGATGACATATCTAAGTAAAGCTAAGCTAGACCAACACTGGAGGTATTCACACTACCTGTGCTGCAATCAAAAAATTATGCTGTGTTGAATAAGAACAAGAGGGTGTGATTTTTTTTTAATTTTTTTTTAGCTAGCACTACCATTTCCACCACTATCTTAGCTTTTACATTACCTGTGTTCAGCTCAGCTCCTTACCACCAGTTTTATAAACGTTTCAAGCTCTAGTTGGGACTTAAGACTGTCTAGGTACACTTAGATTTAAGCGCAGAAACAAGGAAGTATTACTTAATTGCACAGGTCATGTTAAGATCTGTCACATCTACAATTATTTTTTGTTCAAAGAATTTCAAAAGATCACCACTTCAAAAAAGCAGTAAAGGAGTACCTGTATTCTATTATACTGCTAAAGAATGCAAAAAGTTCGAAGACTCTTTCCATGTACAAATACAAATATATGCAAACACAAACATTGAATTTATCCTCATCCAAAAAAAAAATGAATCACATTACCATTCACCTTGTAAACCCAAGTCTGCTATGTGCCTACTTCTCACGAGCACCTATTCTACATAATCTTGTCATATTTAAATTAAGTTTATTATCTTATTACTTTCACTGATTCCTCATTTAAGTTTTCATTCTACATAAACAAGGCATGATTCTGTTGGCTTGGTATTGCTCGCTATGTTTGTATCATTCCGATTTCTGCTTGCAGCATCTGCAGACATCTCAAGCCTACAGTCCACACGTTTGTCCACTTAGTTATTATTTTCAGACTACTGGATGAAGGATGCAATCTTCAATCATCAAACCACAAGGAAAGACAACCATTGATTTATAGCTTCATCCCATACAGTTTACCTATTAAACAATCATTCTTCAGTTAAAGTTACCTCTTACCTTAATAAAAGCTGCTCTCAGTGTCTGAGCCGCAGAGAGATTTACTCTTTCTAGCTGCAATAAAAGTTCAGAGTTATTAGCAATGCTAATGTTATCAGAAGAAAACAAGTCAAGTACTCATGCCTTGCCTTAGCATAATGAAAAAAGGATTTGACAGCAGCATTCAAATTACTGGTCTCCTTTAAGGGAGAGGTACTGTGAAGTTGAATCCCAAAGGAAAGACTTCTTCCCCAAATAAAAACATAAAAATCAAACATGTCACTGGATGTATTTTGCATTTATCCAGCCTACAGTCTGTAAGAAGTTTCTAAGAATGTACTGACAATCCCCAATACTCCCTCAAACCCCAAAATTTAAATAATAACCATTAGCAGTAACATTAAAATGTATCAAGCTGTTCACAGGTACATCTTCAACAGTATGTTACCTCCTACCATAGAATGCCAGACCTGGCATTTTTGTGAAAATCTTCTGTAAACGAGGACATGAAAAAAGAACACGGCCAAGACAACTATCAAATCTTTGATGAGCATGAAATAGCATTCATGGAAAAGAAGGGTAAAACACCGCGCAGAAAGAAGATCGTGGCAGATACAAAGCTTTCCCAATCAAGATGAGCAACCTCTTACTGTGATCACATTTCCCCAAATAAAAGGAATTATTACATTCTAAAGCAAAACCCAGCTTACCTCATTAAAGACAGGGTACATAACAGCATAGAGGGGCATGGAAACCATAGAAGTGGTCTCTGCTTCATTCTTCATCTCTTCCATTGTCATCCTCATTCAAAGACCCACTTCTCAAGGAAAATACTATAGAAGCAAAAAACTCCTCATTCACTGAAATGTTTCTTTTTCCTCGTTGCGCAAGAATACTTGAAGAACTTGAAGAATTTGTTGTCCTGATGTTGTGCGAGGAAAAAAAAAACATAACACATGATTATGAATGCTCATGACTGACAGGTTCTAAAAAATGAAAAGGCACAGGACAACAGTTTGTCAGTGCCTAGAAACTAGGAATTACTTACGAGTTGAGTAAATATGGAATGACTACTTCATGTAACTTCAAAACCCCAAAGGAAATCTAACAGGTGAACAGATAAAAGTAACCTATATCAGAATAACTTTACTTTAAGTTCTTTGGGAATTCCTCAAAGAAGTGACTTTATTTGGTAAGTATTACAAAAATCTTTCCACCGCATAACTCGCATAAAGAAAAAGCTTGACCAGTACATGCTGTAACCCCAAACCCCATACAATGGCACTATGACAAATAACATTAGGACTACCTAGAAATACTCCTTATTTTTGCAGATGCATCAAGCTGTGATTCTACTGGAGATCAGTGCACACTTTCTACCATTTGAATTCTGACTACAACAACTTTGGTTTTATATAAGCGGAAGTCTTAAGTCATGTTTCCACTCAGGGAGTGTCAACAGCTATGTTAACTTAATGGAAAATTATTCTTCCAGTAACTGAACTCAAGGTTTGGAAGTTCTCCACCCAGTCCAGCTCATTGTATCCATCACGGAGCGATCGTTGCTGAGACCCAGAAATTAGGTGGACAAAAGGGTCACCCTACAGTTCATAAGAAATCCTTGTTACAGCCTGCTATAACTTCTGTTCATAAGATTATTTTAAAATATTTTATACAATAGAGTTTAAAGTCTCAAAGTCCAAGTTAATCTCTTTCTGTGTATTTTTATTCTTAACAGTTTTAATTTTCAGATTTGCTTGGAATATTTAATGCACCGGAGGAGGGAGGTTTTCCTCCTAACATACTAATTTTATTGACATTTTCGTAAGAAGCGAAATATTTGAATTTTTTAACAAACAACAGAAGCTACTACAGTAATCAATATCACTTCTCAATAGTGTGAACAAGTTTAAAAAAATGCCATTATAGTTCTTCAAGCTATACTCTCTTATGCTCTACACTGGCTACAAGTTTTCATGTTGTTTAAAGAGAAGAAGAGATGATTTTTTTCTTGCCCAAGGCTTGTATAAAGTAGTTTAGCAACAATTACACAAGTGAAATTTGCTACTGATTATGGTGAGCACAGAGAGGAACATGGATGGGTACAAATACCGTGCATGTCTCATGTGAGCATGTGATAAGGCAGTATGAATACACCCAAAAATGAGAAAACTAGTGAGGAACTGGTCGCACTGCAGAAACATCCAACGGGGGAAACACAATTTGAAGAGAAATTAAACATGACTATAGCAACAATAAACAGCTCCTTATACAAGTCTTCTGACATGGACTACTTACTGCAAAACCTCATCCTTTTTCTTACTGTTCCAATCAAGACATTAAAAAGGGGTCTGTATACATAAGAAAAGTCCACATGGACAGAATTCCAAAAATCAGGCCTCTCACATTTTCATCATCTACTCATAGATATTTTACAGCTGTCAAGAACATGGAAGAACCTAAGTGAATATTTGTCATTTCCCAAAAAGCTGAGTATCTTTAAAGAACTTGTTTCAGAGTTACATAAATTCAGGCAAGGTCTACTACACTCACGTGGGGGGAGGAAACTTGTCTGAACAAGTCTTCCCTCACAACTGCAAGTACAAGCTGTCCCATCTATTATCCAGGCATATTCCCTGCACTACAGACTCCGGCATCTAAGGGGCAGAGTGGATGGAGAGCTGTTTGGGTTACTGCTTAATTCTGGAAGGTCAGTAAGAACGTATAACTCATGCAAGGTGCTACACTAAAAAGCACCACTGAAGACAGCATTCACAGATTACTGCAAGTTGTTGTTTAAAGTACTGTATTCTCAACAGAGTAAGTGTATAAAATGGTTAAATCAGGTCATTGAACACTGTTCTAGTCTACCCAAAGAGTTTTTTGATCATAGGAAGAAGGGCAAAAAAGGACAAAATAACCATTAGATATAATTACTCTGGTTTTATGGGTTAGCAGTATCCACAAAGAGAAAGAAATACTGACTGAAATGATGGATTTTTATGATGAACTGCTATTACACTGTGGACTACCACAGAGAATTCATTTTCTCCTGAGAAGCCATAAGCTATTGCTACTAATGTACAGTACAGCTAAAGCCCCTATATAAAAACAATTATCCACCATCTATTAGCTCTTTATCAGACACTGGTGCTCTTCAAAGAAAATAAAAAGCTTAGATTTATATTAACACAAAGGATACAAGTGCTGTGACTGAAGACGAGATGTAGATTTAACTATACATGCACACAAGAAATACATAAGAACATCAAATACTTTTGTTGCCAAAATATGAGAAGGATTATACTCAATATATCACACTGGTTGTTCATTATTCTAGAAGTCTTCCTGTCAAGCAGAAGATACACCAGGTAGTGTCATGCAAGTATCTGACTGCTGACATTACCACACTATTTGTATTTGCAGCTAGGGATCAATTTTTTCACATCTTTCAGATGTAACCCAGAGGCACTGCAGTCTTTGCTAGTGTTAAACAGAAGGGATAAATATCTTCACCCAAACCCCTCACATTTGCATTACAGAAGGATCATTTGTCATAGCTGCACTAAACCACACATGAATATCTTTCAGGAGAGTCTCAATCCCAATGATGGACCAAATACCCTGGAAACTGAAATTTCTCTTCTATTATTCAGATCAATAATTAGAAAGTCCACTAGCCTTCAAAATGGTTCTGAGCAGAGCCAGAGTTTAATGCACATTATCATGCAGCAACCAGGAGCTTTCAGTACTTTTGCTATGTGACCAAAAGCAGCCACCTGCACAGTTGCCAAGCTTTATGGCAACATTGTCTTCCAAAAGCTTAACTTCACTTCACTACAATCTCAAAAGAATCTTGTATTTCAGATGAGTCTACTCTAGTTTCATCTGCCACTCCGTTTTACACTCTCAAAAAACCAGATGGAATAAGATTCCTTAAGAAAATAATCTATTAGAACATCATAATGTAGTTGTGCTGTTCATAAAATCCCGGCAACCTGCTGGAAGATGTTACTCTGTTGGCAAACTTGTTAATTGGTTTGAGGGGGAAGAAAAGGAAAAGGTAATAGAATACTGTCCAATACTAATGTGCACGCAAGCCTGATCTTTCTTTGTTACAGTGATCCCACAGACTGAAATCTCTATGTACCATTAGCCACATCAGATGAAAACAACCATTGGAGAGAATGTACAGAATGATACACAGAATTTAAGAAGACTCTGAGTTTGAAAGCTGTGCTAAGATGCCAGTGAATACAATCCTGGCTGCACAATCTTAAACCATCAAACACATCAAGCTGCATTCCAAGAAATGTACTAACTAATGTCAATATAAATCTTACACTCTTTAGGTTTCAACACCAAAATATTATCCCAGCTTTTCAGCAAACACTGAGAGAACTGCTACCCTTTAGCCGAGAAAACAAATTTGGAAGGATTCTTTGACAGACCTATTTCCCTCCTATCCATCTAATGACATTTGAAAACATTAAACTTTATCAGGAAAAAATCCCTACATTAGGATAAACTTCCTGTAAGCCAGAAAGGCTAATGACCAAAACCCACCACACTCCCCAAACTGCACAACTGCTGTTATCAGTAATCTAAGGTGGTAATTTGCTTTCTCTAATCCGTGTCATTTACCGACAGACTTTTGGTCATGCACTAAAATCAAGTAGCAGAACTGCAGAGCTACTTAATAAGACTATAACCATCACAATATAAAGCAGAGTGCAATAACCATCGCCAAGCCCACACCTGCTCATTTGCCAGTGAGGAAATGAGCAAAGTATCTGCGTGAGAAAGGTGTTTCACACTACCTTTTGGTAGGAGTCTCATGAATGCAACTTTTTGAGTTTTAAAACAACAGAAACATTAAGTATCAACTGGCAGGATTTCAATCTTCAGTTGTATCATCAATAGATCTATCTACGCGCTGCTGTTGTCGCTATTTCCCTCCCCTGACTTCATCTACCTTAGATCTGGAAAACTTGAAGCACGCAGACATTAATTTTTAGAAAAGTACTAAAGAGAAACAAGACCTTAGGTAGTGATCTACCAGGATTATTTCAATGGTGGGCTTCTGGCAACACACAGCTCTATTCTCACTAGAAATTCTTACTGCCAAGATGCTCTGTTTGACTTTTTACAGCACGGATTCAAGAGGAGGCTTTACCTTTAACCCAAGAACCCTGAATTAGCAGAGGAACTAAATTAAGTTCAGGAAGAAATAGCTGGGGAAAGGAAATAGCATCATGAATTCTAACCTAAATTCAGAGGCAAAGAGCTTGGCTCCCTATTTGTAAGGCTAGCACGTATGGCAGGAGAGTTCAAGTAATTAATAAATTACAGTGGAAAATTTTTTCAGAAAAGATTTGCAGAGTATGCTCTTTTAACTATATGCATACTCCATGCCTGAGTTTCCCTTATTAAGGGTCACTCAGAAGAAATAATAAAACCTAATTCTTTTCCTTGTCAGGCGGTAACTTACCTGCCAGCACCGTATTTCAACTACGTATTTCACTTCCCGTTATATAGCTTAGAATACGTGGTACAAAGCTTAAAGGCTTTGCACTTCACATACAGAATCGTTTTCCCTCTTTTTAAAACTGAGGTGACCTCATGACAGTACGGCAGAATTCATTGGAATTGGACAATAACACTCTTATTTTGAAATCAGTAAAATTACCAAGAAAATTAAAAAGGTACTTTACTGCACTGATTCCATATTCTACTAATTCTTACACTCAGGAGAAGAGTTAATAAAAGACCACTGAAGAGATAATAAAAGAAATGTCACCAGCATTAAAGTTTTAATATTAACTTTAAATGCCTCTCGCTAGAATAGACATATGAAGTTTTCAAACATCTCCATACACATAACAGCCACTTACAGTTGAGTTCACTCTCACAAAGCATAACTGC